GAAAACAAATTTTCGAACGCAAGAACGAAAAATACGCTCTACCTGGAATGTCGTTAAAAACCCCGTATAGCATATGCCTCGCCCACTGACGGCGCGAGCAGAGAAAACAAGACAGAGAAAGCATGCTTATGCAAGACAGAGTAAGCCTATACAGGGTTTCAAATATCCGAGCACGAGTGCGTCGCACTGTTTCAGGACCCTGTATAGATAAGGTCTGATGTATAAAACGTTCAAACAATAATTTTAAAAGGAATTAATGTTTCCTATTGTAAAAAATGCATTTTAAGATTTTTACTTTAACAATACGCATGCGTTTGGCAACATGATTTGAAACAATTAATTGGTTAATTGATTGTTATCTGTTGATATCACTCCATAGACAATGATTGACAGATAAAATTAAAAATTAGATTCTGTCATAGCATTTTTGTACTAAGTAAAACTTACTGAGTAAATATGTTTGGTCCCGGACCAATAGTCTGCCAATTTTGGGATACCCTTTATGCAGGGTATTAAGGTTTTGGGGTCAATAATTGAACCAGCGGTTTAAGATAATATAACTATGGTAGATTTGTTAAATTTAAAAAAATTAATAATAAAAAAGTTATATAAATTTAAATACAATAGATTTTTATTTAAAGGACTTAAATTCAGCCAGGATTGCTACAGGTCCAAGACGTCAATGAGCTGGGTCAAAGCGTCCGGACGTCCTCGATTAATTTCAACCAAAAGGTATTTGCACCTCAAATTTTTTTTTACTTTATTTTTTATACCATTTCTCAGCTACTTTCTAAAAAAATGTGAAATCCTACATTGGGCACTTTTTAAATAAAATCGATTTTTTCATTTTTATATAAAAAAATAGTTTTTTTAAGATTTCTAGATTACAAAGCTATTAATGTATACATATATATATATATATATATATAATACAGTAATAGAATGCCATTTGGTGCAATAATTAAAAAAAACTTCCATTGTTTTTATTTTTAACTCTTTTAATATTAAATTTGTATAATAAAATAATAAATAAAAATAAAATTACCATTTACATAAAACGGTTAAAATATATTTCCTACTACGCATGATAGTTTTTTTGCACATATGAAATTAACGAAAAAACAACAATCAAATAACCTAACAATTCAAAACTTGCTTGTACTGATAATTCATCGCGACCGACAGTGTTTAATTAAAGCTTGCTTGTTATTTAAAAATTTTAAAAATCACCCGCGTAGGTACGCATGAAAAAAATGTAGTGTGCTTACTCAGTTTTAGAATCTTATATCGTTCAATCCCAAGCAAAGAACAAATTAAGCCAATCGTTTTTTCTCAATTTCAATAGCAAAAACATTTGGGAAACCTGCACCCTTTTTATCAAGAAGATTAAGACCATTAAAAAGAACGAAGCACCAAGTAATATTAATTAATACTAATGCAGCAATTTGTTTTTTTTGTTTTGTTTCCAACGGTTTAACACAATTCATGATATTTTTGACAGGGTCCGAACTTTTGCAAATATGTATTTTACCCTTTCCATACAAGGTATAACAAACAGAACAGAGCCGCCTGTCGGTTCTTTCTTTTTAATGGTCCTAATCTTCTAAAATTCTGTCGTAAGGGTGCATGTTTCCCAAATGTTTTTGCTATTTTACAGAAATAACACTCACTCACTTTATCTCTTGATCTTGAGCTTCTTGTTAAACGAAATTGAAAAAAATCGATTGGCTTAATTTGTTCTTTGCTTAGGTTTGAACGATATGTGAGTGAGTAAGTCGATGTAGCGGAGTCAGAGAGTAAACGTAAAACGTTAAAACCATAACAACAAATAAGCCCTCATAGTGCAAACAACTATAGTGTAACAAATACAGTGAGTACAGACTACTCTACGGTCAATAATTAGTTAAGGGCCAAGTGAAAAGGAAGAGAGAAGTGACAAGTGCAAACGAACATAGTGAAACGGTCAAAAGAGTTAAGTGTTAAGTGACAAGAAAGAGTTAAGTTACAAGTGTTAGTACCTGAGCGGTCGCACCATCTGTCAACAGGACGATTTTCACTGGCCAAACAAAAGAGGCCAAACAAGGGGGGAACAGGCCACCTGCAAATAATTGCTAAGTATCCTCAACTCTTCTGCATGACCTAACGCATAATTTGCAAATTAAACTAAACAAGGCATATTGCCTAATCCCTACAAAAAAACAATAATCATCGGCAACAAAATAAATAAAAAGTCAATTTTCCAAGGAAACACCAAACAGCCGATCGCGGACACACACCAAAGTTGAACAGGGCAATAAAGCTGTCAACAAAACAATTCAAGTATAACAAACCGAGACCAAATAAATTTGACACTTAAGACATAAATAACACATAAACTAAGAAAACATAAACAAAGTAAAAAAGCACTCTAATCAAACTCCATGGAATTTGTAAACACATTAGACTTTATAGTAAAGTAAAAAAAAAAGTATAGTAAAGTAAAAAAAATACGTTAGCACAAAACATGCACTTCTCACAAATTAACAAGACCAGTTGGGAGCAACTAAGCAACAATAAATAAAATAAAATAAAAAAAAACAACACGTTTTACGAAGTGCAGGAACTATCCGACCAGGACACGGACAATGACAATAACGAACAAGACGAAGACCTCGACTAGGAAACTACACCCCTGCAGCGAAATAACAACTCCCCATCTCCAAATAGTAATCCCAAATGTTTGGAGTAATACTAATCGACTGGTCTAGGGGGATTCCGCGTCGTACTTAGTTTTAAGTCGGCGTAATTGTCCCCCAAAAACCAACACCCTCCCGTCCCTCCTCCTTACCGCACTGAGCGTATAGCATAGGCTCGGCGAACCCGGGAATGGCTATTAAAACTATTCGCCTCTCGCTCTCGAGCCCCAAATAGGGAACAGTACGGAACGCAATGGACATTCGCACCCAGCAAACACGGGTGAAGCCGTGCAGTTGCTGGGGAAGAACAAAAATCGGCGTAAGTAAACATAGGCCTGTACGGGGTTCGAGAGTCAAGATAAAATGGGGCTGGTTATACGTCTCTTATACTCATACTCACTTATACTCATATACTCATACTTAGGTTTGAACGATATAAGTTTCTTTATCTACTCCTAGTGCATGATTTTGTTTTTTTTTTCGTGAATATTTATAAACATTATAAATTTTCTGCCTAACAACGTGAATAATAAACTCATTATTCACGTTGTTAGGCATTGGCCCATTTCAATATTCACTGCGATTTGAACCAATCGAGTTTTAAATTGGAAGAAGGCGACTATAATAAAATTTAAAATTGGTCAAAAGTAAGGTTAAACATTTGACAGATGTCATATTTTATTTATTTAATTTTGAAAATCATTTAATTATCTACTTATTGGAGTAGATAGTAGTATTGCACTCGAGATTATGTGCAATATTCACTCGAATGATTTAGGTCTCTCGTCTGGCGACTCGAGACGTAAACCTCATCCTCGTGAATAATATCCTGCATTATCTCTCCTATAATAATATACTATGTATTTGTTGAATTGTAACTTGGAAAGAAGTCTTCAATTTTTTTTAGTGTTGGCCAAATGCTTATCATTACTTTAGACTTATTAAAACAGAGTAAGCATACCACATGACGATGTATTTCAGTACTAGCAAGTTTTGAATTGTTAGGTTATTTGATTGTTGTTTTTTTGTTAATTTCAATGCCTACTATGTGCAAAAACTATCATACGTAGTAGGAAATATATTTTAACCGTTGAATGTAAAGGGTAATTATTTATAATTTTATTTCATTATTATATATTATTTTATTACAAAAATTTATTATTAATAAAGAAAAAAATAAAAACAATGGAAGTTTAATTTTTTTTTAAATTATTGCACAAAAAGGTAGATATTCTATTACTATAATAATTAATATACATTAATTTCTTTGTAATCTATAAATCTCAATGAATGGTATAAAAAATATAGTAAAAAAAATTGAGGTGGAAAGACTTTTTGGTCGAAATTAATCAAGGACCACCGTGGACGTCCACTAGGCGACATAACAGGTAAGACGAGCTTATCACTTGATGTCTTAAAAGACTTGCACGAATGTGTTTAAATTGTAACGGAGTAAGCTTTAAACATTTACTGTAATAATGTATTTCCCAAATAAAGATTTTTTGTATTATTAATTATTATTTTATTAGTGCAACTGGCCTATCTGTGTTTAATCACCCTGTATTTCAGATTTTAAGCCAATAACATAACGTTTTTTGAAAATTTTTTATAAAGTTTTACCCGCATAACTGTATTTAAATTGTAACGAATGTGGTGCTATGGGACAAGCTTTTCAATCGATGTTAAGACGTGCACGACTTTGTTTAAATTGTAACGGAGGAAGCTTTAAACATTTACTGTAATAATGTATTTCCCAATTAAAGATTTTTTGTATTATATATTTTTATCTTATTAACGCAATTTTAATTTAAATAGATGGGTTGAACACCCTGTATTAGAGATTTTTTAGGAAATAACATAACGTTTTTTGCAAGTTTTTAAGTATTTACTCGCATTAAACCAGTTTCCTTCAAAAGTTTTGACGAAACTTAAAAAAAAATTAAATATCTTTTTTATTATTGATTTTTTAATAAAAATTTTAACAAATCTATCATTGTTGTATTATCTTTCTCCGCAGGTTTAATTTTCGACGCCGACACCGTAAGCACCTTGTAAACATACATATAGTTTCAAAACATTATCCCTCGTATTTGTTTTGCATTATTTCGTTTTGCAACCTTTGTAGGATTAAATACTATTTACTTGAGTTTTATAGCTAATATTCTTATTAAAGGACTAAACAAAACTAAATGGATATTTTAGGCGATTGTTAGATTTTGGAAATTATGTATAATATCCAACAGTGATGCATAACTTTTTATATATATATTACCTACTTTGTGCAAATACACAAGTTAAAAATATTCAAAAACCAAATGAACTTACTTGATATTCTGTTTCTTTTACAAATATTAAAAACAATTTTTAAACTACTCAAATCATTAACAACGAAACTTTGTTTTGTTGACGTTTACACTGCTTTCATGTTTTAAAAGAGGAAACTACCCCAAAGATAAAGATAGTTGCAACCCCGCATTCAACTTTTATTGATTTTTAAAATAAAGTGTCATTCATATATGTATACGTTAATAGGGCGACCAATTTATTGTTTGGCAGTAAGCTTTAGTAATTAAAAATATTATGATAAAGTAACTTACAATTGCGTTTAAAACATTTAAAAAATATTTACTAAATTTTAGTTTACTTAAGAAGTATTAAAATTGTCTTAATTATTAAACTAACAAAGTAAACATAAAATAGTGTGTAGGATTAAAAAATTAAAAGATTAATGGTTTAACAATTTTATTTAACAGGATGTTTACTAGGTCGAAAACAATTGTTATTTCTACAAACTTTTTATGGTTACTTTGGGAATAAAATAATTATGAAACTAAACTAAATATTTAAAGAATATTTTTTAAATGTAAATATTATATTATTTTATTTTATACAGGTTAAGAATTTAAAAACGGAGAGCATTTAATATTTCTTTAACTGATGACACTAACAAAATTTGGCGAAACACGTCAATTTACATATCAAGGAGAACAAGTTGTAAGGGTCCTAGGGTGTATAAATGTTAAATTTAAATTTTGTGCTATTTTAACCAAGAAACGTTTAGATAATCCACTAACAATAAAATTGGAGATTTAGGTTATTTTATGTTTTAAAAAGCTATTGAATTTTAAAATTTTACTTTTTTGTATATGAACGTAGAAATTTTAGTATGATTTGTTTATATTTGGCATTCCATTACTCAAGTGCAAGTAAGTTTAAAAATAGAATTAAAAAAGAATTAAAAGTCTTGATCATCAAACGATATACTCCTGTAAAAAGTTTGTAAGAGTTTTATGATACTATAACTATTTTTATTGTGATTTTAACTAATTTTCTGCTATAATTAGGTATGTACATTGTACATATTTATAAATTCAAATGTTTACTAGTAATGATAAATAACTAACTGTTTTGGGTTTTGGCACTATATTTTGGTTATAATTCCCCACAACTTCATTTTATTCACATTTTGGTCTATGTCGTTTATTATTGCTAGTTTATTGGGTCTTAATCATTTTAATATTAGTATTTTGAGTGATTTTTGGTAATATTTTCTATTGTATCACTATTTCATTGTTTGGGTTTAAAGATATGGGGATGCGCATACACTGAGTTCCAATCTTTAGCATTTTGCATACACTGAACCAAATTTAAATATTTAGATTTTGTATTGTCGTTACTTTAAGTTGTACTGATTTTGTATAAATAACTTTGCTTTGTTATTCCATTTTTTTAACTTTTCCTATATTTGTATTGTTTATGTTATTCAGTGTATCATCGCGGTACTGAACTATCTATTTATGTAAACTCTGCATTTTTACTCAGGTTAAAGCTGTTCAACAATTATATTATTATTATATTATTGATATTACTTGGGTAACTTCCGGGTAAGATCTATAAAAAGCTATTATTTATATTATTTTTATTATTGTTATAAAACAATGTGATTTTATCCTTAGTAATATTAGGTATTGATATCGTTTAGCCTTTTGATAGATTCGGGTAGAAGACTTAGGGTTAAACCTGCTTACATACGCGCTTTCATTTGAATACTTGACAATGACTTTTCGGGTGATATATTTTGTTGTTATAATATTTTATTTTGTTTATTTTTTTGGGAGAACTTTTTTACTTGAACATAAAGGCATTAGGTGGAAGGTGGTGTCGTTATATTTCTTGGTTCTTACTTTTATGTATAGGCCGTGTTTGTATGTTTTCACAATACTATTGTTTTGTGCTGGACATTGATTTTGTGAGAGAATTTAAATGCGTAAGTTATATAAATTCAGAGTCAGGTACTTAACCTCACGTATGTATGGAATGTATTTTATTTATAAATTGAAATAATGAAGGTTTTCAAAGGGGTTGCGGTCACTGTGCCGCTGTGACATTCATTAAAAAATATTTAGTAAAAAATTACGTACAAAATTCTTTCCTTTATTAACATTTTGCCGTTTAAAAACAAGATATATACACACCAAATTTTTTGTGCGTCTTTTTTTATTATTTATGATAATATTTAAAAAGTGCAGTTTGTATTTTTTACTCATGGTGTTCATTTATTTATTTATTTTTCTGTTTCTATTAGTGAAAATAGGCTGTAGTAGTTATTGTTGTTTATGTTGTACCTTTTTAACTTAATTAAAGCACACGAAATTTTGGGTTGGAGATGCCTTATAATGATCGCAATTAATTTCACTTCCGCATAAGGTGGTTGCGGGAACTTCGCTTGCGGGACAAGTTTATAAACCAAGAATCTACAATAAAGGCTTTGTTCTTCTTTTTAGTTCTGATCACAAATCAGAGGAATGACACTTAGCTTTAGCAATGTCCTGTTCTCAATCGCATGATAGCTGTTAAGTGGTTTTGTATTTTTTGGTATAGATCTACGGTTTGTTAGGAAGTTAATCGACTACCTTTCCATACCAGCTCCCTGTTCTGAAACATGTTTTTAACCATTCCTTGTTGCATGTTTGATCCATTTCTTTTTTTTCATATACATATACATATGTAGGTAGTATTTCTGTTATTTCTGGAAAAAAATGTAAAGGGGCACTAAGGTTTAACCCAATATTCGCTAGTTGGTTTGCAACCACATTTCCATGGATTTCGTCGTGTCCTGGTGCCCATGATAATATAAAGTCGAAATCATTTTCTGTGGCTAATCAACCTTTTAGTGGCAATCGATATATACATATATTAGGGTGGTCCTTAGCAGGGGTGTTTTTGAATTTCTTTGCTCCCAAGGGCTCAAACGCTTCCGAATGAATAAAAAAAATTCCCTGAAAATTTCAGCTCTTTATATATAAACTCTAAGATAGTCCGCATTACAACCTAAGTTTCTTTTGAAAATAACATAAGAAAAATTGTGTTCGTTCTTTACAATTTTATAGTTTGGGGACAAATGCATCTATAATAATGAATAATACATATTTGTACATAGAGAATTTAACGCTCTACAAAAAAGGTATTCTATGATTTTTCTTTATGTATATTGGTTTAAAAGTTATTCGGGCTCAAAGTTTAATTTTTATATAATTATTAATATTATCAAGTATACAGGGTGGTCCAGGATTAATCTGAAAAATTTTAATGATCGATAGAGCCTGAAAAAACAATAAAAACAAACCCAAAAACATTTTTCAAAAATGTATACTAACGGAGATATAGTCCTTCAAAATAATTTTTAAACCATTAAACCGATTCTTCTCAAATTTTGTGTAGGTTAAGCTTCCGTCGATAATATAATGAACAAAAGGCCCGGAGGCGGAGATTTTGGGAGGGGTTTCCCCTTTTTACCCTCATATTTTCGACGCCACTGGATTTTATTAGAAAATCTTCAGATTTATTTTTATCCTTTTTCAATCTAAAAGCAAAACTTTTATGTTTATTTTTTATCAGATCAACGGAGATATTTCAGTTTAAAATTTCAAAAACACTGTGTACACGGAAATTTTGTTATTATTTTAGTAATAAAAAATTATTTTTTTTTCTGAACGATTGTATTGGGCCAATAAAAATTTACCAATGAAATTATGGAATAATCACTTTCAATAGGGTGGTTTTTGGGTTGGTTTGATTTTGTATTATAATACAATTAAATTATTAATTACAGACGTTGATTGTAATCCTCAATCAACGTTATAACAACCTAAAAATATGACGGGATCAGTAACAACTGCACGATGACTCCTGGACGCTAGTTTATTTTTATAATATTTTATAAACTGTTAACGTGGCATAATTGTTACCAAGTTACCGATTTAAAATAAAATATGATAAAATTCTGTGTACTCGGTGTTTTTGAAATGTTAAAGTCTCCGAAACCACTGATCTTATGAAAATTTAACACACAAGTTTTGCTTCTAAACTGAATAAGAAATCTGATGATTTTCCAATAAAATCCAGTGGTGTCGAAATATGGGGGTAAAAAGAGGAAACCCCCACAAAATATCCGCCGCTTGGCATTTTGTAAGAAATTTTACCTAGGTACACAAAATTTGAGCAGAAGTTATTAAAAAAAAACGTTTTTTTGCCTTTGAAGGGCTATTAGTGTGTTAGTGTGTATTTAAAAAAAATGTTTTTGGGTTTGTTTTTATTGTTTTTTCAGGCTCTATCGATCATTAAAATTTTTCAGATTAATCCTGGACCACCCTGTATTTATAAAACAAACATTTGTATCATGAAATAAATTACATTTCTATTAAAGACTATATAATTTAAATTTAATTTATGTCATTGTATGAACTTAAATGCAACGTTATAGTATATTATGTATCAAGTTTGATAAACGCCATTTTATACACGAATTTAATTTAGGCGCGAGCGAGCTTGCGAGCGAATGCTTAAATTAATTAGTTTATAAACGAGGTGGATACTATACTTTTTCGGCGACAAATACTTATTATTATCTTAAAATGATTTAAATCAAAAATTTGTATAGAGCGCCATCTATGAAACAATGGGGGGAATCTGTGTGTTACCGTCAAATGTGTCACAATTATAAAGGTTATAAATCGAAATTTATTTCTTGAAAATTTACAGTTTTTCACAGTGAAAGTATAGAAAATGTTTTATGAGGACTTTACAGTAAAGTCCGTGCCCGAATTTAAGTTATAGTTTACTGCCGGCGAAATTAAAAGATCAGTACAATGTTCATATAAACTTTTAAAATATTGGCGTTGAGAAACTATTTAATATTTTTGTATTTTTGTATTGAGATAATAAAATAATTTTCACATTTAGTATTATTTTAACCAGAGCTGGGCCAAGTACAAGTAAAATGTACTTAAGTACCGAGTACAAAGTACTTTGTATAATTCCTGAAGAAGTACAAAGTACCAAGTACTATACAAATTTCAAAGTACTTTAAGTACAGTACTGCAAGTACAGTACTCAGTACTTTATAATTCTATTTTAAGAGT